CTTAACAAAGATCTCAGCTAAGGTTTTGGCTGTGTAGGGATGTTTAAGAGGTATGAAACGCGAATATTTTGAGAGGCGATCAACTACAACCAATATAGTTTCATAACCCTTAGACTTGAGCAACCTAGTTATAAAGTCAATAGCAATGTCCTCCCACACTCTTTCTAGAATCTACAGTGGTTGAAGCAAGCCATCAGGCATTGTAGTGATGTATTTTTGCCTCTGACATGTGTCACAAGCTCTTACAAACTACTGGACCATATTTTTCATCCCCTTCCAATACAAGTTTGCTGCTAGCCTCCTGTAAGTTCTATAAAACCCAATGTGCCCCCTTGGGGAGTCTGGTGATATTCCTCTAGCAATTTAGGAATCCAAGTGAAATTTTCAGCAATCACCAAACCTATCTCCTTGCCACAAAACTCCATGCTTATAAGTGGACCCACTTGGAACTTCTTCTCCTCTCTGAATTCTTTCAATTATAGCCTTTAGCTTATCATCTTGCTCAGCTTCTTCAATCAAATTCTGAGTATCCATCCACACAGGGACATAAACTATAGTTCTTAACTCTCTTCCTTCCTCTTGCCTAGATAAGGCGTTTGCCCTTTTATTTTCCATTCTAGGCTTGTAGATGATATCAAAATTGTACCCCAACAACTTCGTGATCCAAATTTGTTGGTTCCCCATAATTACTTTCTACTGCAAAAGCTGTCGCAGACTTTTATGATCAGTTGCCATAAATTTTTTATACCCAACAAGTATGGTCGCCAATGATTAATCGCTAATGCCACTGCCATAAGTTCCTTTTTGTAGGCTGATTTTCTTAGGTTTCTCACCCCCAAGGCCTTCCTGAAATAGGAAACCGGATGTTTGTCTTGCATAAGTATGGCACCTATCCCTGATCCGAAAGCATCACATTCCACCAAGAATTCCTTTTCAAAATTAGGCCAGGCTAGGATTGGTGTTGTGGTCATGCGTCTCTTTAATTCGTCAAACGCAGCTTGTTCCTCTACTCCCCATTTAAATGAATCTTTCTTAGTTAGCTCTGTCAAGGGCTTAGCCACCTTGCCGTAGTCTCTCACAAATTTTCGATAGTACCCCATCAAGCCAAGGAACCCTCTAATGCCTTTAATGTTCTTAGGGACTAGCTAATCGATAACATTTCTAATTTTCTCTGGATCCACTGCCACCCCTTGTTTGGAAATCATATGTCCCAGGTACACTATTTTAATTTGAGTAAAGAAGCACTTCTTCTTATTAGCATACAGTTGATTTACTTCCAGCAACTTCAGCACTGCCTCCAAATGACACAAATGTTCTTCCTAACTCTTGCTGTAAAGTAATATATGGTAAAAAAAGACTAACATATACTTCCTAAAACACCCTCTGAACACTTCATTCATCAATGATTGGAAGGTAGACGATGCATTTGTGAGCCTAAAAGGCATTACGAGATATTCGTAATGGCCTTCATACATCCTAAATGTCATTTTCAGAATATCTTCCTCCCTCATCCGCACTTGATGATACCCTAACTTGAGGTCTAATTTAGAGAAAAAAACAGGCACCATTTAACTCATCCAGTAACTCTTCAATCACCGGAATTGGAAAGTTATCCGGTATGGTGACCTTATTTAATGCCCTGTAATCCATGCACATCGTCCATGATTGATCCTTTTTATGTACCAAGATTACCGGGCTAGAAAAAGCACTGTTACTATGCCTTATGGCTCCATTTTCCCACAGCTCTTTCACTTGATGCTCAATTTCATCTTTTTGGTGGTGTTTGTATCTGTAAGGACGCACGTTGACTGGTCCTTCACTGGGGAAAAATTCTATATTATAGGACTTCGCTCGTTGAGGAGGTAATACCTTGGGTTCTTGAAAAACTTTCTCAAAGCGGTTTAACAACTGCTCAAGTTGCTGCTTCTGTTTAGGGGTTATGTCTTCTTTGATCTCCCCTTTTGAGATCACGTCCCCCTCTAAAATGGCCATCCGAAGGTCCTTAGTTCTTCTCTTAAATAGGGCTAGCGTGGGAATCAATTTGGGCACTTCTTGCAGCTCTACTGTTTCTCCATGCGAAAGAAATTTCATAGTTTGTGCTCTCCAATCCACCACCATCTCACCCAATAATGTCAGCCATGATACCCCCAAAATCAAATCAAAATCATCCAAATCAAATAGCAATAAGTCCAAGGTGAACTCATGGTTCCCCAATTTCAGTTTGAACCCTCGACACATTCCTTTCGTAACCACCTTGTGCCCATCACCCAAAAGAATTTTCATATTCTTTGTTTTCTCCACCTCCTAGCCTATAGCATGCGCCAACCTCTTAAAAATGAAGTTGTGTGTGGCACCGCTGTCCACCAGCACGTGAATAGGGATTCCATGGATCTCTCCTTCCAATTTCATGGTCTTCGGTGTCGTTTCTTTCTCCTGCATCAGACTTTGTAGGAATAAAGTGTGGTACTCGCCATTGACGTCATCTTCTACGTCATGCTCCGATTTGAGACCTTCCTCTCCATCCACATCTTTGTCGACCAACATAATTTTCAGATGTTTTTGTTGAACATTGGTGCTGAGGGGAATAGATACCAAATCCCCTTTTGCCTTTTTTTCAACAAGTCATTATACAAGAGGTGTTTTACCCCTCTATCTCGTGGCCCACTTTTACTTTCTCCCTCAATATTGGGCCCCGACCCATTTATGCCTCCAAAGGTTTTGCCTCCTTTGTCCATATTCGTCTGCCACTTTTGAGGAAAAGTGGCATTTTGCCTAGCACCCATGTGTAGTCCACTACTGCCACGTGCTTCTCCCCTTCATTGCGGAACACCCATCTTGCCCCTGCCTCTCAATTCAATCTCAACAGCACGCGTCACATTCATCATCCGTGATTGTGACATCGGACCCAGGGCGTACAAACTCCTGACTCATCCCCTGATGTCTTCTCTCAACCCATGAAGAAAATATGCAAAATATTGGGGCTCAGGAATTCTTGGGATTTGGGCAATTAGGAACTTGAAGTCCCTGATATATTGCTTAACGTTTCCAGTCTGCTGGAGTGCTGTCAACTGCTCGTAAGCATTTCCTTCCGCCAACGTTCTGTAACGATCCAATAACGCCATTTTGAGTTGCTCCCACGAAAGGTCTTCTTCCTCATTCATCAGGGAATTGAAAAAATGGATGGTTCCACCCTCCATACAAAGCTGAGCTAGGTTTACTCGTACTTGGTCACTTGTCTCTTGCACTTGGAAGTACACTTTTGCCTTGGAAATCCATCCTGGAGGGTCTTCGCCATCAAACAGGGGTAACTCAACCTTCTTAACTAATTGACGAAATTCATCAAGTGCGTTGCCCTATAATTTTTGAAATCCTGACCCACTACTCTCTTGAGTTTTCTCTGATGTCTTATCCCGCTGCTCCTTCCGATTTCCAGATCACTCATTGTCCTTTTTCCACGATTTATTCTAGTATTTTGTGCCTTGCGAAAGAATGTCCAGAATTCGCGATTGTGTTTCAACATTTTCTCTCCTCATCAATTTCATCGCCTTCTGTTGCTCATGGGCTTGTAATTTCATTGCCTCTATGGACGTCCACATCCAGCAAGCTCTTTCTCTAGTATCTCAAGTCTAGGATCCATCATCGTCTCGTCTTCCTTCAATTATGCTAGTCCCAATTTTGATGTCGTCGCAGTCGCCCCTTTCGTCGTCTTAGTTGGCATTCACTACTCACCCTACCAAATCCGACAGGTCAGACCAATTATTATGAACCACAAACCAAACACAGATGTAGTAACAGAAAAGAAACAGCAACCAGAAAAGATTTAACGGGGAACTTCTTATGCCCTAGAGCTAGGCTTCTTCACAAAGAATAAAAGCTTCTCCATGCCAGCAAGATTTAACCAAATCACAATATTTCCCAATCCCAGGCTCATCATGCCTTCTAAAACCCTCCTGTCTCTCTTTTCGTAACTAACTCAGCCACCTCAACTCATTCCTCTCATTTTCCTAATTCCTTCTTTCTTTTTTTACTTCTAACATAAACAATCCATTTTTTGGGCTGACTTTATGCTTTTTGGATCAAGTGCTCCTCTGGTTCATTAATTGTTCCTTGGTTCCCATCACCTTCCAAGCTTCTAATGCACTGCCAATCAACAAAGAGTTGATTGCAAGATTGTGTCTGAAATTGATCTATGAATTCATGCCAAACTATATTGTTGCATCTTTCCCAAGTTGCATGTATGAGTTCATTTACATTTGGAGGAATGATGCTTCTATCTAAAAGCTTCAACTTAGTTTTTAATAAAAAAAAGAAGAAGTCAATCTCACATTTTGGCCTAAGAATGATAATTCTTGCTAACAAGTAGTAGAGTTGCAAGAGGTTAGGATGGATTTTTATTGCCATGAAGATAAAAAGGATTAGATAGGTTGGTTAGAAAACCTTGATAAAAGTTTTAGACGCCTTTTCTTGATCAAGAATGAATATTTGTAGAGAAAGAAAAATGAAAGAGTAATAATAGTCCGAAGCTCTGAATGGAGCTTTGATGCTATCTTACTAAATATATTGCTCATACTGAAAAATAGTTTGAATATTGTTGAGTAAAGAAAGTTTTTGATACTACAATTTAAATACAAAGGTATTATATATGGAGTTGTTATATATACTAACTGAAATGTCTAATAGTTATTAATAAAAAGATAACATAATATAGTTGTTATATGTAGTAATAGTATGATCATGGATTCTTATTCTTGGATTTATAATTTTTCTTGGCTCTATTTTATTAGCATATATAAGAACAGATATTGGTTTCCAATACTTGGATGATTGAACTCATGCACGATTGTGCAGGATTTGACACAACTAGAATAAAGGTATAATAATGAGACTTTTATTACGCTCATGATATTTGGTTTACCACACACGAAAGGCCCAATGTTAAGTACAGAGACGATTTGGCAAATTTCTGAAAAGAATTTTCAAAGTCATAAGCCATTTATAAACTCTTCCAAACGCATCTTAAATAGATTATGCACTCAATAACCGTAAAACATTGATGCAGGGAGAAAGTTCTATTTTATGGTTTCTATAGGAAACAAATAAATATAAAATCAATAAACAATTCTATCGTACAACAAAACTTGTAAGCGAGTTTTGACAGTCATGGAAGCATTCATGACCATAGCTAGCTATTACCTAACTACGATTTTCTACAAGCTTAAGACCCCAACTCATATCCTCACAGTGCCTCACATGTGGAACAAGTGCACCAGTGTCAGCTCCTCTCTTGGCCTTACAATCATACAAGGGAGGAGCATGGAAGCACGGCTCCATTGACATGGCACGTTGACACGCAGGATTAGGAGCTGTTCCATTCTCAGGTTTGTATAGTATCCAAGGTTTCAAACCTCCAAGCCCCTGCGCCACATAGCCGAAAGTAGACCACGAGCTAGTAACCAACACATCACTTAAGCTTAAAAGGTACATTTCTGCCCAAGCTTTTTGGTTGTGCATCTGCTTCTCTGTTTGTTGATATTCTTCATGGCTTGGCTGGTAAATGCCAACCACTTCTCCTGTCACAGTAGGATATTCCCAATACATGTCTCTCACTTTTTCAAAATAACCAGAGCTTAAGGATGTCATCAACACTGCTTTTGACTTTGGTTTTCCAGATGAACTAACAATATCCCCCTTCCTGTCAACATCAGGCAAAAGATTCTCTTTCAAAGTACAAGCGATGATCTGATCCAACACATGTTGAAATGGACCAGTTCCAGTGTCAAACACTCTTATCTGGATGCCTATTCTTTCATCAACATTAGCTAAATAAGCTTTATAGTATCGGATAACAAGTCCCCACACTTTGTTGGTGGGGTGGAACAGATATCTACCCAAGAAATGGAAAACTGTTTCCTTGTTTGGAAAGAGATTATTTAGTTCCTGCTCAAAAGATGGCATCAAGAACAGAGATGGGATAAAGTAATTATCGGTTTTCACCACTAACCAAGGCACTTTCTGGAGAAAAACTTGGTCTTCATCACAGAAGAAAAGCTTATCCTGATCATCATAGTCATGGGCTAGATGAAGGTACACAAAAGACGGCACCATGGAGTTTGTAGTTGATTTATTTTTCAGCATTTTCCCATAGCATTGATCAGATTTCTGATCAAAATTGTTAAATTGACTATTAAGAGGGAAATCTTGAGGGAGAAACCAGGAAACATGTGGAAATGGTTCACAAAACAGATTCATCATATCAACTCCAGGATCAACCAATAGAACTCGATTTGTGAGGAGAGCATATAGAAATGCAGAAGCCAAGGTCAATATCCTATTCCCTAACCCACTATATGAAATCCATACTACATATTTACATGCTGAGGACTCACTTAAATGACCAGACCTGAGATCTTTCACCGTTTTATTATATGATTCAGTATAGGGTCCACATTCTTTGTGAAGAGCTTCATATTTTCTCAATTTAGAAACAAGGTAAGAAGAAGGGTTTCCTGATAGTCCTTTGCTGACCGAATGATACCTGCTGAGACAAGATTGTTCATCGAATCCAGCTGCTAGAAGGCCACCAAGTAGTTTATCTTTTTGCAGCTCAACAGAATCAGAGGCATCACCATTCAAACCTACGAGTCAGAGAACAAATTGAAATGCTATTATTAAACCACAACTGGCTAGCAGGAAAGTCAAACATCTTAAAAAATGGAACATAGAAAAATCAGTTCATTCATCAACAAAAAATGGAAAACACGAAACACAAGTTGGTTAAATGCTTCCAAGCAAAAGAATCAAAACTCATGTGCCTAAAATATCCATTTTTTGTTCTCGATTTTCCCTTTTATTTATGTTAAGGGTATGGTACCCTAATCAAGGCAGGAAAATCCTTTGAGCTTAAAGATCACATACAAAGGCCTTAAATCTACTTCACTCCAAAGAAACAAGTGAAGGCTCAAATCTACAACCTGTGAGATGCAACCCTATATTACTCCACACTACCAACTCCTTGGGATTTAAGCAACGCATATGTTATACGAAAGAAAACTAAGAGAAAATGAACAAATGCATAAGGACTTCAACCCAAGTAGATGAGTGAAGATTTACTCCACTCCTCCAACCCAGTGGACTTTATGCAAGGCATATAATGTACGAAACAAAACTAAATAAACAAGAAAGGACAACTAGACAAGTATAGCAACACAAAATAACTTGTAAACAAAAATCAACATCCTGCTTCGGGGGCGATTGTGATTGCATCAGTAACAAATCCAACATAGCATATTTACAGGTACTACGATCGTCACATTACATAAAATAAAAACAAAGGTCACATAATTGTAGGATCTAAGTGTCCACCAAGTTAAAAGGAAAACACCAAGCCCAAATCACAACTAGTGTTGAAACTTGATTCATATCATAAATCAGAATTAAAGGGAAAAATAAAAAGAAACCTGGTTGAGTTCGTTCGAGTGGAAGCGAAGTTGTTGTTGTTAGCGATGGAGGGTGCGGAAGGATGAAGAAGAGAGAGAAGAGGAAGAGAGAGAGGAGAAAGAAGGCCATGAAGCGCGTGAAGGGGAATTTTCTGTTAGAAAAGGAGCGCGCGTGGGAATCCAAATCTGGGACGTGGTGATTCCTGTTGTGCCAATGTCTCTTCATGTGCACTCTCGTTTGCTTCAATTCAACCGCCGAATGCTTCTTCCCAAACACGGTGGCTGCAGCGCGCGTATCCGATTGATGCGCTCTTTACAACTTACAACACTTCCATCCTTGGTAGTCACACTGCCGCCCCATAATTTTATACTAAACCCTCTCTTCTCTTATTTTGCTGTAATCATGATTTATTTATTTATGGTTTTTTATAAAATGATTTTTTTATACATGCCACTCTTTTGTAATTCTTTTTTTTTTAAATTAATTGTTTATGCGGTGTCTTTAAAATGATAAATTAAAATAAAGGTGATAAATTTTTGAAAAATTCAAAGCTTACATCAACTTAAAAAAAAAAAAATTATGTTTCGGTTAGTAGTATGCTAATGCTACCAAGTCTATGTCTGTATAACTTTTATTAAGATAAATAAGCATTAATTTTTTAAAATCTTCCTCAAAAACTTAATGAATAATTAATTATATTTTAAAATAAGATAAATTAAATATGTACCAGCTAGTAAATTAACTTCATAAAAGGGGGTAGTATAATCATTATTTTCATTCTCTAAATTTAATTTAGTAAATTAATTTATTATTTAATTTAATTATTTAAGTTTATTTTATTTTATTTAATTATTTAATTTTCATTATATTTTTTATTTTTTGTCTCAATAATTTTTTTTGTCATTTTAATATCTATAAAACGTCATGTAAGTGATTAAATTTTATCACTCAAGTTTTCAATGGATTAGAAATAAATATTGTAAAATATTAAACATTTGTTTAAAAGGAGAGAACTCATAGAAACAAAATAGAGGAAGAAAACATAAATTTCAATGTTTTCCTCTCTAGTTTGTAAGTAAAAAAAATAGGAGAGGAAAAAACTTATAAAACTTGCATTAAATTTATTTCTCCGCATTTAGGAAGAGAAAAGAATTAAATTTTAAAATAATTTTCAAATTTTGAGGTAGGATATTTTTTTTAACTATGTTAAAAATTATATTTATCTTTTATAAAGATTTAGAGAATGTTTGCTTTTCTTTTTAAAAACAGTTTTCTGTTTTTAAAAATAATAATTTGTATTGAATTTTATTTTTAAAAACAGAAAATTGTTTTTAAAACAGTAATTAAACATACTTTAATATTTTTTTTTTCCACATTTTCATCCAGTCAAATAAGACTAAAGAGAGTTATATTTTCTTCTCTTCACATCCTTTCTTTTACTCTTGTATTAAATAATAAAAGAATTCACTCCTTTTCTTTTTAATCATATTTTTTCGTGTCATTTTCTTTTACAAAGTATGACAGCTGCATTTGCTCAATGTACTAAATAATAGTCTGTTGTACTACATCTTTTCTTATTTATATGTTTAGAGAAAAAAAATTGTTCATATTAGACATCTACATAGAGTCTTAAAATTATTATTATTATTATATCCTTGTTTTTTAAATAAAATATTTATACTATTTAAATAATCTAAGAGTAAAAAAATATTAATTTATTGATCTGTTGTTTACGATAAAAAATGACAGTTTTGTAAACAAATAATCCAAAAATAATCTGAGGAGTGGATTATGTCCTCTTTAGGTTCTTTTAAGTGTGTTGTTAATGTAATAGTAAAATTGACATTATAAAGTAGTGGACTAAATGGAAATAGCAACTAGTAGTCAAACAAAAGTAGATGCTTTTACAGAAATATACTAAATAGGAACTAAATTACAGAAAAGGAATAAGCAACAAACTGGAATTAAAATGCAGAAAGGTAAATGTGCAGTAATGTAAACATACGACTCCTCACAACAGCGAACAGCGGCCACCGTGAGTCTCCTTGTAGCTGGTGTCTGGCATGGTACAGGGTTTCAGTGTGCAAAGGTCTTAGGTGTAGTGTCAGGGTGCAAAAAATCGTCCCTATAAAATGATGCTTTGGAGTATTTATAGGCAGGAGGACCACCACCGTTCTCCTTCCTTTGCGGCCACTTCTTAGTAACTACCTTCAACTGTTGATACCCATTATCCACGATTGCTTGTGATTGTGCTGTTGGTTGGAGCTTCTTTCGTAACTGCTATCGCCCACGATCTCCTTTGCGTAGTGGTGAATGTTGATGACTGCTGGTAACCGCTTTTAGATTTTGCAATGACTTGACTTATCAAGACTTTTGTTTTTCTATCTTTCGAGTGTTTCTAGGAGAAATCTAAGAGGCTCATTTAGTGTTATGGCCTTAGAATAATTTCTTCTTGACTTGTCTTTTCGACTAATTTTGGAGTTTTGAGAGTTTGTCTTGGTCTTGTGGACTTAGATATTTTCTTTGCTCATTTCTGTTTTTCGAGCAATTCTAGAGTTTTGAGAGCTTGTCTTGGTCTTGTGGACCTAGAATATTTTCTTTGCTCATTTCTATTTTTCGAGCAATTCTGGAGGGACTCTGGAGCTCAACTAGGCTGGCAAACTTAGAATATTTTTTGACCACTTCCTGTTTTTCGAGTAGTTTTGGGTGTCAGAGACTTAAAAACTCCTCAAAACTCTTCGAAAAGGCCATTAGTTTTGTGAACTTAGAATATTTTCTGACCACTTCCTGTTTTTCAAACAGTTTTGGGTGTCAGGAACTTGGAAACTCCTAAAAACTCCTCGAAAAAAACCTTCAGTTTTGTGGACTTAGAATATTTTTTTGTCAGTCCTATTTTTCGAGCAGTTTTAAAGGAAAATTAATGAGGTGACAAAAGTCTAAAATAGCTCAAAATGTGTCATTTTTTATATGAAACTAAAAGGTCTTAGATAACTTTTCAATACTTCTCAAGTTTAGACCTATTTTTAGGCTTCTTCCTGATTCTCAACATTTTGTCGAAATGTAGCTTCCTTCAACATGATTTTTAACTTATTTTCCTTACCCCAAACATCTGTGTAATTTCTTATCGCTAGACAGATAAATAAAAATGAAAATAGTATACTATAAATATGCATTAGTTTGGATCTATAATATTCTTATCATGGGAAAATTTTGAATAAGGATTCATCATGTTCTTTGTATTTTTATTAAATAATGTTAAACAAGTTGGATATCTTTTAAATATTTTTTTCTACAATTTTATAGTGAGTGCTGGACCAAGATTGAGAACTAAATCATGGATTAGATTTATAAAAGGCTAATAAAATTAAAATGACAGTATTTCTCTTGATAATTTTAATTTCTTTTCTCGTTCTTATTATATTGGAAGAAAATTCTACTATTCAATTCTATCAACTTTGACTCAAATGCATGAACAAAAATTAATAATAATAAGTTACCTCAAATGTCTCGAAAAGTTTGTAGAGCCACTGATAACCTATGTCTTTTCTTCTGTCGACGGCGTAGACAACTTCAAGATGATTTATTATGCCATTTTCACACAACTTTTTACGATCAACAATGGCAAGTCTATGTACATTTGTGTTGTATTTATTTGTTCACCATTGATTTGAAAATTTCGTATCATTTTAAAAATTTTTGTTTGTGAGAGAATATTTTAGGAGTTTATTTTGAATTTATTGTTTTGAGTTGTTCTTTTTATAAATTTATTATTATTATTTTAATTTAATATATATAACTTTTTTTTTACTGTAATTCTAGAACGAGTATTTGGAGATATTTTCTTAAACCAAAGTGTGATTAGATTATTTTATTTTTTTTATTTACAAACGAGAGCATATTTTTTTATCATTTTAAGTTTTTTCTAAATTAAGCACTTTGTTTTTAAATTAATATTAAATTATATCAAATTTTTCATATCAATCTTAATATATAATATGAAAATATTAATTTTTTAACGATAACATTTTTTAATTGATTGTATTTTTAAAGGTTAGTTCTGATTTTTATTGTTAAAATTTTTTTTAATTGACTAAGCATTTATTTTTTAAAATTTAATATCAATCTTTATATATAACTTGTGATATTAATTCTTAAATAAAGTAATTTTAAGTATTTTGTTTAAATGAGAGTGTTTTTAAATATATAAATTATAGATTAAACATTTATTTTTTCAATTTATATTAAATTAAATTGTGAACTTTTCATATAACCTCTATATATAATTTGTGAGTTCTAATTCTTTAACGAAAATGTTTTAGGTAATTTTTCAAACAAGAATATTTTTAGGAATTAGTTATAATTTTCATCTATCTAAGTAAATATTTTTGTAGATTAATAACTTTTTTAACTTAATATTAAGTTAAAATTTAATTTTTTATAAATTTTCCTTTTTATTTAATATAATATAATATTTATCATTTAAGAATTTATGAGTACAAATTATATAGTTTTATTAAGAGAAAATATTTTAAATTAAGTGTTATTATCTTCTTAATTAATTACTTAATTTCTCCTATTTTAATATTTATTTTTTTATTCAATTAAGGTTTGAATTTATTTTTCCATTTTATATTTTTAAAAATATTATTTCCTTAACTTAATTTTATTTTAATATAAAACAATATTAATTATTATAATAAAAGTATTGACTCTTTTTAAAATTTATAAATTTTATTAAATTAAAAAAAACATACTATTTTTTTATTCTATACATGTATAATCCACAAGATTGTACTTTGAACAATGCAATAACAATACCTGTTGTAGTGAGAAATGAATAAGGATGACCTTTAACATTCTCGCTATAGTCAGAATTATTTTACTGTAACTAGAATGACAGACAAAAAAAGAAAAATGTTATCTGATTTTTTTGTTGTAGTGAGAGTTACTCGTCGTAGCGAGAAAGTTGTGAATTTTAGGGGTATTTAAAGAACTTTTGTCTTAGAAACTTTTATTTAGAACCAAAACATCTCTCCCTCTCTATTCTCTTCATTCTCTCCCTCTCCTTCTCAGAGAAAGCCTCCCTAATCCAAAATCTCCCTCGGATTTGAGCTCTAACGTCTATTCCACTCAAATTCTTTAATCCTAAATCTCCCTTGGATCTAAGCTTTAACATCTATTGCAGTCAAATATAAGTAAGTTTCTGAAGTCTAGCCTTAGAATCTCATTCCTATTTCTTTGTTCTTCCTTCTCATAATAGTAATCTATCCTATGATGTTAGGAAGAACTCTAGTTCTTGGGTAGTGTTTCTGGTCAAGAAGTCGAGTTTCTCTCTTAAGCCCACAAAGAACTTAGTGTAGAGATTCATCACCAGGTAAGGGGAGTTACTCCTGAACCCTAAATTCTCTCTAAATATGTCTATTGATCTTGAAACAATGGAGCCACCTTATTCTAAATAGCAAATCCATAAAGTTTTCTTGAAACTATATAAGAAAAATAGATTTTTGATATAAAAGAGGTTTTTGATCTGTTTAAAATCATCTAGGACAAAGTTTGCCATAAAATGTCACGAGTAAGAATGAGTTTAAGCAGTTTTATAGATAAGTTACTATCTTTTTAAATAATATATATGTTGAATGGTGAAAAAATGAAATATGCTAAACTTTAGGCCAAAAGACTCTATTAAGACCAAGAGAATGTGATCTCGGCAATATATTCTGGATTTGCACGATTTGGACTAAGTCTAAGAGTGTGTAACATCCCTACTTGAATTAAATAATTTCTTAGTTCAATAATAAAAAAAATATCAATGAGATGTGATTTAACTCAACAAAAGATATTGGTATATAAAAAAAAAATTGATTTTAGTTATATAAGACCTGGATCAATAAAATGAACTCATTTTAGTTTTGTACTTTGAATCACCATTTAATATAATTACATATTACATAAACTCAAAATGGAAACAAACTCAAATTTATTATAGTTTCATAATAAATCAAATTCTATATAGTAGTTCTCTTCCTGATAGTCCCGTACGAGTAGGATCCTAAAATGATTCCATCTTTGTTCATTGCTTCTTTACTTGAAATTATTTGTAAGGGTGAGCTTCTCTTGCCCATATAATTCTCATTTCATACAACAGTCAAAGTAAAAAAAATATTTCCTAATATATCATACATCATTAATTCCTTCATCACAATTATATATTTTTTTAACTACTAGATTGTATTTGTTTGGAACATGTCCAAACATATATTACCAATATAACTTACTCATTTTAATTAACCAACACAATACCACCATCACCAATATAACATAATCATTCCAAATCAACAAACATAGTATCATATCAATATCATCAGGAGCACACTATTAATCTTTCTTTTGCTCAATCATTATAATTCAATTGAATATCCATTCTCAATATTTCCAATTTTCTATTATCAATCAATCATAACTTCGTGCCACTCTCTCCTTTTCAATTTGAATATTTCATTAATCAAGAGTACTTTAGGTACTCACAGACCCTAAAATCGCTCCCAACATACTCTTTCTAATTATGATGGACTTACGCCAACATAGATAGTTGTCATTTGCCACCACACACGGATACAACGTGCATGTTATTAGGCAAACATAGCAAAGGTATAGTTAGGAGATCAATCATGAATTAAGTGTGAGGCCTATGCATGCTTTCATTGTCAATCATGTACACTTAAGCTATTTGCATTCATCATCCTCATTTTCCCTAGATATCTCAAATCGTCTCTGGACTCTATACCTCAATGTATCTCTGAACTATCTATGTGGTAACTCAAACATGGCACATTACAATCATACTATTCCAATATACGTGTTGCAATTACACTAATCAATGTTAATACATGTGTTATAATCTCACTCGTCTATGTATTACAACACATATACTATAATCGCATCAATCAGTGTCCTTGTAACACATATATCAATCACTTCCTTTTTCTCTTTTCTTATACTTTCTTAGCATTTTCACACATCATACTTTTCATTAATTTCTACTAATAACACATATTCCTTCAATTTATTTTACTTTACATTTTCTTAGTAATTCTCATATATTCACATAGATCTCATTAATAACTTTCACTATCCATCAAGTTTCCTTCATCTCTTTTACCTTATTCATTTTATTAACTCATATCCAAAGTACATGCATTCCTACTTCATCTAGTTCACACACAATGTGACACAATATCTTTTATCATTTAAAGATGGTCAATCCATTTAGATAAAATATACCTAACACTCAACTTTTCAATAAAACATATAATGATAAAACAAGAAAACACACCATTACAAAAACTAATATAATGCTATGAAGGTCGGATACCTTCGGGCTCAGACTAATTGCACATTTCATAAGTATTTTGTTGGAAACCTGTAACACCCCAAGTTTTGTAATTCTTTTATCATAATTATACATATGTGTGTGTTATGATTTTGAGGTTCATTTTGATTTATGTTGGTGATATGGATGTGTACATTGATATATTATGGTTCAAATGTGAATGTTTGCTTGGGAATGGACTGAAAAGTACTTGAGAATATAGGCTGATGTGCGTTGCAGGGACATTCTCGCTGTAGCGAGAAGGTCCTCGGCAAGTTGGCATATCTCGGTTGCGTTCTCGCTATAGCGAGAAGGTCGCAGGAGATGTGGGTGCCTCTATTGCGTTTTCGCTATAGCGAAAGGGCAACATAAAAGGGGTGTTTTCTGGGTTGAATCTCGCTTTAGCGAGATTATGCAGAATATCGTGACTCTTGGGGTATTTGAGGGGTTTAGGGTTCAAGAAAACATAATTCTTACTCTTCCCTCCATCTCTCCTTCGATTCTCTCAACCTCTCACCCTATTTCACCGATTAAATTTTCTCCAAAGCTGTGTGTGCCCTAGATTGAAGGTGGTGATCGTGTTTTGGGGACGTTTGGATGTAAGTTTCGTCAGTTAGGGTTTCGTTCGTGTTTAATCTTTGTTCTCCTCGATTTCTCATGGATTTCTCTATATACTTAGGACAAAAATTTGTGTGGAGAACCCTTCTAATGTTGATTGTGTCATGGGTCTTCATTACAAGGTAAGGGGGACTCTATCCTATCCCCTTGTATTAAAATTTGTTTATATTGTTACTTGTTGGAATGTGATTGAAATGGAACATAGGAAAATATGTGTAGTGATGAAAATTTCGTGTTAATCATAATGTGGTAAATATTAGGTGATGTGTGTGACAAAATGATTGATTGCAATAAGGTTGTGATGGAAATATTGTGTGAAGCATAGTGTGAGTGACTATTGATAATGTGGATGAATGTGTGTGAATGGCATGAATTGTGAATATGGTTGTGTTTGGAAAATGGTTGAAAACTATGAATGGTTACAGCGATATATTGGGAGTGTAGAAGATGGGGGCGGTAGAAATACCTTGGAAAAAAAAGGGTGGTGGTGACACCAATAATGAGAGTGGGTGCACCACAGGCCACACACTCTTCTCCTAATTTGGCCTCTTACCAATACCTTTGCTAAGGGGCCGTGACCGCACATGTTGTATTCGTGAGGCAGGGGCTAACCGATGACCATCCATGGTGTGAAATTGAGTAAGTCTCTGAGGTTGAGGGCATAAAAAAACTGTGATCACAATGCCACAGTGAGTGTGGATAACGTACAGTGAGCGCACGTATGTGTGTGAATTGATTTGAGGTGCAGTAAGTGCACCTGTGCATGAATTGGTGTGAACGATTGATGTGTGAACATGACGTGTACATTGTTGGAATGAATCGATTAATACTTGCTCTAATGTATGATTTAATTCTATTAGGGAATGTTTTGGACTACAGAAGGTGAGTCTCTAAGTTATGTTTGTGATAGTGTAGAGGACTCATCCTTACATTTATTTTTTAGGTAACCAAGACAATCAGTATCAAGCTCAGTGAAGGGATGACTGATACTGCTATAGGACATAGAAAATTATTTTTTTGAAATTGTAATATATTAAATAGGTCATGTAGCTTTATTTTGATTCAAACTTTTAACGTATCCCATATTTTGAAATACTTCATCAAAATTCTGTATTTGGAACTAATAAAAAATGGAATTTTATTATTCTTATTTTAATAGGAAAATATCTTATTGGAAATTATTTGAAAATAAATTAAAGAGTTACGATTTTGGTATTAGAGAAGTACATTTAAACTAGTCTGAGGTATTAGGGCTGGTGCGTCCAAGTTGTGTGCTAATATGTTCTTGTTTACCTGAATTGTGAATGTTTGTTGTTGATTTGACCTGATAAATTGTAGATTGCTGAATTTGTTTGCTAGAATAGGTTAGAAATGGTTGGTAGAGGTAGAGGAGCAGGTATCACTAATGACCTTCTAGAGCAGATGACTGAAGTTCTAAAGGCACTGGTGCATAATCAAGATGGAGAGCCAGCTGAGTATAGAGGGCTTTCATCCTTCACTAGGCATAACCCTACAAAATTTAAGGGAAAGTTTGACCCAAAAAGAGGCCAAAGGTGGGTGGCAGATGTAGAGAAGATCTTTCATGCAATGGGTGCAGGGAAGAGCACAAGGTAACCTATATCACATACATGCTAAGTGGAGAGGCAGAGGACTGGTGGAACTTTACTAATCAGACTTTGCCACAAGAAGGTGGCTACATCCCATGGGAGGCATTCAAGACGAGCTTTTTGGGAAACTATTTTTCCCGGGACCTTAAGAAGCAGAAGGCCCGAGAGTTCCTTGATTTGAAGCAAGGAGCGTGACTGTGAGAGAGTATGCAACAAAGTTTCAAGAACTAATAAAGTACTGGCCTCATTACCAGCATCAAGACGAAGAGGAGGACTTTGGTGCTCAGTTCGAGCATGGATTGAGCCAGAGATTGGTGTTGCAATCAGTGTATTTCAGCTGACTGACTTGTCCACTTTGGTGAGCAAGTGCAGGATATTTTGAAGTGAATTCAAAGGGCAAGACCGTGGACACCAGAGGGGGTGGTCCAATGAGGCAAGAGGAACCTCATCACAGGAGAGGAGCCATACTCGAGCTGTAGTCATTCACAGTCTAGAGGAACCTTATCATAGGAGAGGAGCAGCAGTAGTGGCTCCGGTTCTGGCTCCTTCAGAGGGCCAATCAAATGCTTCAGGTGTGGAGGGCTACACATGTTAAGGGACTGCCTACAGCCACGAACCAACTGTGGTAATTATGGAAAATTGGGACACTGATGAATCCACTTTTTATTGGATTTTTACTTGTCATTTTGATGTTTCTTAATAGAAAAAGTAAACTTAGGAAGTGTAAATAACATAAAAATATCATTTTGGCCAACTATCATAGGTTTCTTAATTTTTGGTTAATTTACATTAATTTACATAGATATAGTTTGCAATTTTGATCATTTGAATAATTGTGCAGGAATTTCTAGACTTTTTCCATGGATTTTTAGCCTTTGAGAAATTTTGAGTTGAAAGTGATCACTTTCAGAAGTGAAAGTGGACACTACAGCAAGCTAGATCTAGAGGGCAGGCCAGAGTAACCACTTTTAGAAGCAATAGTGATCACTCCAAAACCAAAGGAAGCACCCAGACCTGCGCGTGTTTACTCTCAGAAACGATAGTAAACACTCCAGAGAGCCCCAGAGTTCAGGACCCTGCGCGTGTTTACTCTTGTGAACGATAGTAATCACTATGTTCGCGCGTGTTTACTCTTGTAAACAATAGTAATTACTATGATCGAGAGTGTTCACTGTCATGAACGAGAGTAACTACTCTGAAGGCGTCAACTTTTCTATATATGGATTTTTACCATTTAGGGTAGGGGGACTTTTGCAGAACTTTTTCTCTCATATATACCACAAATTTTAGGATACTCTTGGAGAGCCTAGGGTGGCCTTGGGTGACAGCCAAGGGTCCAACCTAGGGTTTGATTAACATTTTCTCCTTACTTCTCTTTGATTTTTGTATTGATGTTATTGATTTCTCTTTACTTTCATTTTGTAATTGTGAGACCCATCCTCATGGAGGGTTAATTTTCTTGTAATCTCTAGTGAGTTCATATAGATTTTTGAGTTCTTGGTTTTTTGAATGTTAATGCAAATCTTTTTCTTCCATGAATTTCTTCCTCCCAAACTCTTGAATTGAATTAATGGTTGAATGAGGGGAGCATTGCGTAATGAACCCTAATCCGTTTTAATGAAATTCTAAATTTGAATTGCTTAATTCTTGTTTAATTCCAAGATTGCGTAATCAAGGAATGAGAGATTGGAGTTCATTGGATTACTTAATTCATATGAAAACATAAGGTTGATTTTCGCTTGTTAAATCAACCTAATTCTGGGAGGAGAGGAAAAGTATTAAATCTTGAGAGGAATAGGGATAGAGTTTATATGAATGAACTAGGGGTTACTACATTTTATCGATTGAACTTTGCAATTTAATTTTCTGCTTAAGTTGATTGAACTTGAAATCACAAAACCCCCCTTTTTACTTGCTTTCTAAATACATTGCACACTACATGTTTGATATTTGGTCACTCGTCCAATGATTCATGGGAGACGACCTAGGCTTGCATCCTAGACTACATAAATTTTTCTGCATATTTTGATGAAGGTTGACGACAAATCTTTTTGCAAATGAGAAAATATTTCGTTCATCAGACACACTGCGAATGTTTGCTGGGTTGCTCCTAAAAAGAGCGGTAGTGTAAGTACTAGCCAGAGACCTGAGTCGAGGGGAAGCACGAGACCGAAATTGAGCATTTCAGGGAAGGTCTTTGCCATGAGTAGGGCAAAGGCTTCACAGTTTGAGGAACTAATTAGAGATAAATGTGTTGTTAAGGGCAGATTGCTAGATGTATTGTTTGACTCGGGTGTTACGCATTCATTCGTTTCCATGGACTGTGTGAAGTGTTTGAACTTGCATGTGACTGAATTGCCATATAATGTTGTGGTGACTACCCCTACGGGTAAACTGGTCGTAACTTCGTGGTTGTGTCTGGGGTGTTTTGTGATGGTGCATGGTAGGGACTTTGAGGTAGACTTGATCTGTTTGCCTCTTTCCCAATTGGATGTGATTTTAGGAATGGATTAGTTAGCCGCCAACCATGTTTTGTTGGACTGCAAGGAGAAGGCCTTGATCTTTGGTGCATTGACATAAAAAATTCCTAGACTTTTAAGTTAAAGTGCGTGAGAGAACATGGTTAATGCTAATGCCTTTATGGTCATGTTCTCATTTGAAGCTAAAAGTGGAGTGGAACTAGAGTATATTCTAGTGGTGAGGGACTTATTGTTTTCCTTGATTACTTTTCTGAGTTACCACCAGAGAGAAATCGAGTTCACCATTGACCTCATTCTGGGAGCAAGCCCAATTTCTGTGGCACTATATAGGATGTCACCAATGGAGTTGGTAGAGGTAAAGAAGCAAGTGGAGAACTTATTGCAGAAACAGTTTATAAGGCCGAGTGTGTCACCATGGGTAGCATTAGTTCTCCTAGTGAAAAAGAAGAATGGAAGCATGAGGATGTGTGTCGACTAAAGACAACTAAACAAGGTGAGGATATAGAACAAGTATCCTCTTCCCAGGATTGATTTGAGATTGGGATATCATCAAATTAGGATAAAGAATGAGGATATGCCTAAAACAACATTTAGAATGCGTTATGGTCACTATAAGTACTTGGTGATGCCTTTTGGTGTGACTAATGTGCCTGCTACGTTCATGGATTATATGAACAAGATCTTCCATGAGTTTTTGAATAAGTTTGTGGTGGTGTTCATTGACGATATCCTAATTTATTCAAAGACTCAAGAAGAACACGTCGAGCACTTCAGGATCGTTTTGCATATCTTAAGAGAGAGGCAATTGTATGCAAAATTCTCTAAGTGCGAGTTTTGGCTGTTAGAAATTCAATTTCTGGGACATGTAGTCTCAAAGGATGGAATTATGGTGGATCCTGTTAAGGTAGAAGCAGTAGCCCAATGGCTGAGACTTACAAATGTGATGAAAATCCACAGTTTTCTAGGATTAGCTTGCTATTATAGGAAATCCATCGACTGATTTTCTAAAATAGCTTTCATTTTAACGAACTTGACCCGTAAAGGGAAGGAGTTTAAATGGAGTAGGAAGTGTGAAGCTAGTTTACTAGAGCTGAAGAGGAAGCTAACTTCAGCGCCTGTGTTGGTTTTGCCTGATCTGGAGTGGAAGTTTTACGTGTACTGCAATGCATTTAGGCATAAGCTTGGATGTGTTTTAATGCAAGACAGAAGAGTAGTTGCCTATGTCTCGAGGCAATTACGTCTGCATGAAATCAACTATTTAACTCATGATTTGGAGTTAGCCGTGGTGGTCTTTGCTCTTAAGGTGTGGAGACACTACCTCTATGAAGCAAAGTTTGAGGTGTTCAATGTCTACAAAAGTTTGAAGTACGTATTATTTTTGGATAAGTTTGTGGTGGTGTTCATTGACGACATCCTAATTTATTCAAAGATTCAAGAAAAGCATGCCGAGCACTTGAGAATTGTTTTGCAGATTTTGAGGGAGAGGCAGTTGTATGCTAAATTCTCAAAGTGCGAGTTCTGGTTGTCACAAATCCAGTTTTTGGGACATGTGGTATTGAAGGGCGGAGTTATGGTGGATCCTACAAAGGTGGAAGCAGTGACCCGATAGTCGAGATCAACAAATGTGACAGAGATCTACAGTTTTCTAGGACTAGCGGGCTATTATAGGAAGTTTATTAAGGGATTTTCTAAAATAGCTTTGCCCTTGACGAAACTGACCCACAAGGAGAAAAAGTTCAAATGGAGTAAAGGGTGTGAAGCTAGTTTCTTAGAGCTGAAGGTGAAGTTGACTTTAGCACCTGTGTTGGTTTTACCTGACCAAGAGCGAAAGTTTGATGTATATTGTGATGCTTCTGGGCATGGACTTAGGTGTGTTCTGATGCAAGATGGACGACTGGTTGCTTATGTTTTGAGGCAGTTGCGTCCACATGAAGTTAACTATCTGACTCACGATTTGGAGTTAGTAGCGGTGATTTTTGCTCTTAAGGTGTGGAGGCACTACCTTTATGGAGCAAGGTTTAAAACGTGTTTAGTGACCACAAAAGCTTGAAGTACTTGTTTAACCAGAGGGAGTTGAATATGAGGCAAAAGAGATGGATGGAATTCCTCAAAGACTACGATTTCACATTGTTTTACCATCCTGGCAAGGCAAATATAGTAGCCAACGCTTTGAGTCGGAAGTCTATACACGTGGCAGCTATGATGGCGAAAGAGATGGAGTTGATTGAGGAGTTCAGGGACATGAACTTGGCTATGGAGGTAAGGCCAATGAGCTTATATCTCAAGATGATGACGATCCATAATGACTTCTTAGTGCACGTCTAAGATGCTCAGCAAGGAGATGTGTTTCTCCAAGATATGATAAGGCAGAAAAGTGAGGAAAAAGACTTAGAGTTCCACTGTGATGAGAACAAGGTGATTAAGTTTCAGAACTATGTGTGCATTCCTCAAGTGGATGAGTTGAAGCAAATGATACTTGAGGAGACACATAAGAGTAGAATCAGTTTCCTCCCCAGTGCAACTAAGATGTATCAAAACCTCCGCAAGAACTTTTTGTGGAATGGAATGAAGAAAGATGTGGCTAAATATGTAGATAGATGCTTGACTTTCCAGAAGGTGAAGGTGGAGCACAAGCGTTCACCTAAATTATTGCAACCTTTGGAGATCCCTGAGTGAAAGTGGGACAATATTTCCATGGACTTTATTTCTGTTTTGCTGAGGACCAGGAACAATCATGATGCCATTTGGGTGATAATGGATCAGTTGACCAAGGTTGCACACTTTCTCCCGGTCAATATGAAGTATAAGTTAGAGAGATTGGCAGACATATATGTGAGGAGATAGTCAGGCTGCATAAAGTACTGACTAGGGTGGTATTCGACAAAGAAATGAGGTTTACCTCGAGTTTTGGGAGAGCCTATAGAGGGCTTTGGGGTACTAAGTTGAGACTTATTTCATCCGGAGATAGAATGAACAAATCAAGATGATTAAAGAGAAGATGAAAGCTGCACAAGATCGGCAGAAGCGCTACTATGATAAGATAAGGAAACCTTTGGAGTTCAAGGTGGGTGACCATGTGTTTTTGAAGGTCTCACCTGTGACAGGAGTTGGAAGAGCTTTGAAATCTCGAAAGTTGTCTCCTAAGTTCATTGGACCGTTCGAAGTGTTTAGTAGAATTGGTCCTGCAGCTTACTAGATAGCGCTACTTCTGAATCTCTCAAATTTACATCTGGTGTTTCATGTGTCACAACTCAGGAAGTATGTGTCGAATCCCTTTCACGTGATTGATCTTGACCCAGTTCAAGTAAGAGAAGACTTATCCTACGATGTGTACCCGGTGAGGATTGTAGATCATCGTGTTAAGCAGTTGAGGGACAACGAGATCTCACTTGTGAAGGTAATATGGAGTGCAAGTGAAGAGGGAGATGTCACATAGGAAACGGAGAGTAGAATGAGAGAGTTGTATCCGGAATTGTTTGTGTAGTTTGTGTGTTTTGTTGAATTTCAGGGACAAAATTTCCTAAAGGAGGGGAGAGTTGTAACGCCCCGAATTTTGTAATATTGTCAATTATTAATATAAACATGTGAATTACTATTGAATGTGCATTTGACTTGTGTGGTGACCATATGTGTGTAAATAGGTATGGATGTATATATATGTTTGTATATTATGGTTGAAAAGTGAATGTGGACTTATGATTGGATTGGAATGTAGGCTAAGTGTGTGATGCAGGAGCATTCTCATTATAGCGAGAAGGCCCAGGGCGTAGGGCATGAATCTGTTGCATTGTCGCTGTAGTGAGAGAGCAACAAAGGAGGGTGCATTTCTGGGTGCAGTCTCGCTACAGCGAAAGTGTCTCACTGTAGCAGATTCTGCAAAAATTAGAGTGCAGAATCGTCTGAGATTTTCACTATAGCGAGAAATGTTTCGCTGCAGCGAGAGTGTCGCCACTCATAAGGTATTTGAGGGGTTTAAGGTTTGAAAAACTCATTTCCCACTTCTTCTTTTGAACTCTCTTTGATTCTCTTTACCCTTAATCCATTCTCACCGATTAAACTACCTCCAAAGCCATTTAGGAGCAAGATTGAAGGTTATAATCGTGTTTGGGATGCTTGGAGGTAAGTTCTATGGGTTAGGGTTTCAATTTTCATCTCTTTCTTTCCTTTTCTCGATTTCTCATGGAGTTTTCCAGGTATTTAGGACAAAAATCAATGTAGGGGACATTTCCATCGTTGATTTTGTGTTTGGGTCTTCAATCTGAGGTAAGGGGGGACTCCACCCTATCTCATTGTACTAGGAAATTGTTTATTTGGATGTGTATTGTAATATGGTTAGGATGAAATATAGGAAGAGATGTATTTAATGAGAATAGTTTAGTTGTGATTGAACTTTGATGGAAATGTGATGTGCAACATAATGTGATTGATATTTGAGAAAAGTATATGATGGATAATGAATGTTGTGTGTGATGGAATGTTGTTAGGAATTATGTGTTTGAGTATAATGTGGTTGAATGTGTGCATACGTGCCATTTGATGAAAATGAAAATTGTGATGTGATTGGGAATGTGAATAAATATGTGTGGAAATGGCATGAAAATGTGACTGTGATTGTGATTGTGAATTGGTTGGAAACTATAAATAGTTCAGTGATACACTGAGGGTGCGAAAGATGAGGGCGATAGAAATACCTTAGAGAAGAGAGGGTGATAGTGACACCAACAGTGAGCGTAGGTGCACCATAGGGCACACACTCTCCTCCTAACTCAGACACCTTTGCTTGAGAGGTCCAATACTGCACACATTGTATCTATGGAGCGGGAGCTATCCGACGACCATTCATGGTATGAAACTGAGTAAGTCCCAAAGGTTGAGAGCATCAAGAATCTGTGATCACAAGGCCACGATGAACGTGGCTATGTGCAGTGAGTGAACGTATGTATGGATTTGTTGATGGTGCAGTGAGTGCACCTGCTTGTGAATTGAAATAGAATGTTGAAAATGTATTATTTTATACCTGCTTGATGTGTGATT